CACGAAACTAAGAACAATGCCAACACTTATAATAATACTGCGAATCATACTACTACTTACTCATAGTAATGGCAAAAAGACTAATACGAATTTGAATGCGAATAATCATAAGACGAAGAGGATGATGATGAGGAGGAGGGGGATGCGGAGGCGCAGGCGGATGCGGAGGAGCAGGATGATGATGATGAGGGGGAGGGGGGGAGGAGGAGGAGGAGGAGGAGGAGTTGGAGGAGGAGGAGGAGGAGAGGGTGGATGGGGTGGGGGATGAGGGGGAGGAGGAGGCGAGGAGAGGAGGAGGTAATATACTACAATACTCATAATGGTATAAAATAATAGTAGTAGTAGTAGTACAACTATAATCATTATACAAATACGAAGGAGCAGAAGAATACGAGGAGGGTGATGATAGGAGGAGGATGGGTGATCCGGAGGCGGAGGCGGACGCGGAGGAGCAGGAGGCGGATGATGAGGCTGAGGAGGATGAGGAGGAGGATAAAAGGAGAGGAGAATGAGGGAGGAGGAGGTGAGGAGAGAGGAGGGGGGAGGAGGAAGAGGATGGGAGGCGAGGAGGATGAGGAGGATGAGGTAGGAGAGGAGGAGGAGGAGGGTGAGGCGGAGGAGGAGTATAGTAGGAGGAGGAAAGAAAGGAGGACGAGCAGGATATTAGGAGAGGAGGGGAGGCGGAGGAGAGGAGGAATGAGGAGGGGAGGAAGGAGGAGGAGGAGAGAGGGGAGGAGGAGGAGGAGGAGGAGAGGGAGGGGGAGGAGGAGGCGGAGGAGGAGGCGGAGGAGGAGACGGAGGGAGGGAGGGAGGGAGGGAGGGCGGGATGGAGGAGGAGGATGAGCAGAAGCAGGAGCAGGAGGAGGAGGATGAGGACGCGGACGAGGAGGAGGAGGATGATGCGGATGATTCGGAATATGATGATGATGCTGACGATGATGATGGTGATGATGATGTCGATCACGATGCTGATGATGATGCTAATGCTGATGATGATGCTCATGATGATGCTGATGTTGATGATGTTGATGATGATGATGCTGATGATCATGCTGATGATACTGATGATGATAATGATGATGATGCTGATGCTGATGATGATGATGATGCTGATGCTGATGCTGCAGCTGATGCTGATGATGATGCTGATGCTGATGTTGATGCTGCTGATGCTGATGATGATGATGATGCTGATGCTGATGATGATGGTGATGATGCTGATGATGCTGATGCTGATGCTGATGATGTCGCTGATGATGCTGATGATGCTGATGATTCTGCTGATGATTGCGATTATGATGCTGATGCTGCTGATGTTGATGCTGATGATGTTACTGATGATGAGGTTGAGGATGTTGATGCTGATGATGATGCTGCTGTTGCTGATGATGCTGCTGATGATGCTGATGATGATGACGATGCTGATGATGCTGCTGATGATGATGATTCTGATGTTGATGCTGATGCTGATGCTGATGCTGCTGATGAGGATGCTGATGCTGCTGCTGATGATGCTGCTGCTGATGATGCTGATGCTACTGATTATGGTGATGCCAATGATGATTCTGATGATGATGACGGTGCTGATGATGATGCTGATGATGATGCTGATGCTGATGCTGCTGCTGATGATGATGACGATGACGATGACGATCCTGATGATGATAATGACGATGCTGATGATAATGCCATGATGATGATGATGATGATGATGATGATGATGATGATGATACTGATGATGGCGATGATGATGATGATGATGATGATGATGATGATGATGATGCTGCTGATGATGATGATGATGATGATGATGTTGATGATGATGATGATGATGCTGATGATGGCGATGATGTTGATGATGATGTTGACGCTGCTGCTGTTGCTGATGTTGCTGATTGTTGCTGATGAGCCTGCAGCTGATGATGATGTTCTAGTGATTGTGGAGGAGTAGACGTTATGCTGATGCTGTGATGCGCTATGCTGATGCACGATGCTGATGATGATGATGATGATGAATGATGATGATGTGCTGATGCGGCCTGATGAGAGAGGAATGATGAGGATGATGATGATGATGATGATGATGACGAGGATGATGATTACGAGGATGCTGATGGGGATTACGATGTGGATGATGATGAGGAGGGGGAGGAGGATGGGGGAGGAGGATGGGGGAGGAGGATCAAGATGAGGATGAGGATGCGGATGAGGAGGTGGAGGAGGAGGAGGAGGAGGAGGAGGGGGAGGGGGAGGAGGAAGAAGAGAAGGATGAGGAGGAGGGGGATGATATTGATGCTGATGATGGTGATGATGATGATGCTGATGATGATTGTGATGCTGATGATGCTGCTGCTGATGATGATGATGCTGATGATGATAATGATGATGATGATGATGATGATGATGATAATGATACTGATGATGCTAATGATGATGATGCTGCTGATGATGATGATGGTAATGCTGATGATGCTGACGATGATGAGGATTCTGATTATGATGATGATGATGATGATGCTGATGATGATGATGATGACGATGATGATGATGATGATGCTGATTATGATGATGCTGATGATCACGATGCTGATGATGATGATGATCATGATGATGATGACGATGACGATGATGCTGGTTCTGATGATGACGACGATGATGCTGATGATGATGATGATGATGATGCTGATGCTGATGATAATGATGCTGATGCTGATCCTGCTGCTGTTGATGATGATGATGATAATGATGATGCTGATGATGATGATGCTGATGATGATGATGCTGATGCTGATGATGATGATGCTGATGCTGATGCTGATGCTGATGATGATGCTGATGCTGATGCTGCTGCTGCTGCTGATGATGATGATGATGATGATGATGATGATGATGATGCTGATGGTGAGATGATGATGCTGCTGATGATGGGATGATGATGATGGTGGTAATAATGATGGATAATGATGATGATGATGATGATGATGATGATACTGATGAGCTGATGATGGTGGTGGTAGGTCGTGATGTGATGATGATGCTGGATGATTGCTGATGATGATGCTGTGGTGATGTGATGATTGATGATGATATGATGAGTTGGAACTAGACGATGAAGAATGCTGATGCTGATGCTGATGCTGATGATGATGATGATGATGATGATGATGATGATGATGATGATGATGATGATGATGATGATGATGATGATGATGATGAGGAGGAGGAGGAGGAGGAGGAGGATGAGGAGGAAGAGGAGGAGGATTAGGAGGACGAGGAGGAGGAGGATGAGGATGAGGAGGAGGAGGAGCAGGAGGAGCAGGAGGAGCAGGAAGAGGGAGGATGGATGCTGGAGGATGGATGCGGACTGATTGATATTGAAGGATGGAGGATGGTCGCTGTAGGAGGAGGAGGATGTATACGTCGGGGGACGAGGGGTAGGAGGAGGGGGAGGGGGATGGG